GAGCTAGTCTTACAGTGCATTAATAACAATGAAATATGTAGTCAATGGAGACAGCTGCACAGCTGGTTGGAGCCAATGGAGACAGCTAGTTAGCCACCTCTTAGACCAGCGGTTCTCAACCTGTGGGTCCCCAGATGTTGTTGGACCACAACTCCCATCATACCTGAGCTCTGGCCTTGCTAGCTAGGGGTGATGGGAGTTGTAGCTCAACAACATCTGGGGACCCACAGGTTGAGAAAGGCTGTCTTAGACCATGGGTAGGCAAACTAAGGCCCGGCAGCCGGATCAGGCCCAATTGCCTTCTAAATCCAGCCTGCGAATGGTCCAGGAATCAGTATTTTTACATGAATATAATATGTCCTTTTATTTAAAATGCATCTCTGGGTTATTTGTGGGGCCTGCCTGGTGTTTTTACATGAGTAGAATGTGCCCTTTTATTTAAAACGTTATTTGTGGGGCATAGGAATTTGTTCATTATTTTTTTTCAAAATATAGTCCGGCCCCCCACAAGGTCTGAGAGACAGTGGACCGGCCCCCTGTTGAAAAAGTTTGCTGACCCCTGTCTTAGACAAAAGTACTGCCTTTCATAAATTTGGGGATTTAGGAAGTGGGGGTGGGGAAAGGATCTAGATGGAGCATAGAGAATTGCAATTTTGCCTGCACACACACTGGTAATTCAGAATGAACAGTTTCAGAAATCAACTGCTTTCAACCGCCAGATGCAATCCCAGCATGCGCACACAAGGAAGCAGTTGACAAGACACAGAACTGTAAATACATGGTTAAGAGGGGCTAACCAACAGCAGGCGGGAAAAAGGCAATTCACCCACAGCACCAGCACATCCTTACAAAAACGGAGCTCTGTGGAGAAAATCAGTATTAACAGCATCCTGGTCTGTGAACTATGGAACACTCATCCTAGAATACAAAACAGATTCTAATGGTGCAAGATATGGTTCTGCTCCAGAATGCCACAGAATCAATAGCCTTCTCTCCAAGATATAAATTCTCAATGTGGGATATAATACTCCTAGAACTGTGGCTGCTAACTAAGAAGTATGAAACAACACAACACTCTTGCGAAAGCCCAGCAGCATTATAAAGCTCCACTTTACTCCACCTGATCCTAAGGAGGCATCAGACGTTCAGCAGCAATTTGGATTCTGAGATCTTCCTCCTCTTGCCTTGCTCTTCCAGTTTCCTGGCTTTGCTTCAGCCACAATGCTTAGGAGTATTATATCCCACATTGAGAAATTAGATGCTTTTTAAACAAGACCGCACACCATTCTGGAGCTATAGCAATGCCTTGGGGAACCTACTGAAGAGCTTTCCAACGTGATCCAGAAAGCCGATGAGTTCTATTCTCATTTCTCAAGATATATTCCAGGGGTGGAAGAAGAGGAAGGCATGGCAGCAGAAAGAAAAACTGGGCTGCAATGTGTTCCAGTCCTTCACTTTCACAACAAAGATGCTACTACACTCTCTCCCTCCCTCCCTCCCTCTGTGTGTGTGTTTGTGTACACACACACCACCCAAGTCATCTGTATGCAACACCAACTGTTCGGGTCTCTGTGTACACACATCATGTGACTCCAGTCTGGCATGCTGGCCACAGGACAACCCTCTCCTCGCCTTCATCACCCATCTCCCACTGACAGCTACTGCACTTCTTTTCACTTGCTATTCAGATCATGCACACAGACTGCTCAGAAACCAATCTCATGCCCATTAGTACTGCCTGCTGTGTGGATGGGCAGACAGGCTGCCTAGAGAACAATAGGCAAAGGGAAAAGCTGCAAGTCCTATCCAGTATTGTTACGGAGGGCTGAGGCTTCTAAGCTGCCCTTGCGGCCATTTGCTCTGTTCTGAAATTTGTCCTAGGCATTACTGCAGGGATTTACAGGTCCGCTTGCACCCACTAGCATTTCTCCATACAGCTGTGCAAGTGGATACAGAACTTCAGGAATAAAAAATTAAAAGTGTACGAAAGGGGTTCCAGCAGCCTGTCACCATGGCTGTGGTCTAGGAAGTGGCTGTGTGTTCCCTATGTATACACCAGCCTTTCTTCATACTGTTGTATACCCACATTTATAATTGCATATTGGAAATTAAATTGTCAATAAGAGCCTGTTGCAAGTCTGTTAGCCATTCACATGATTAGGGACAAACCCCCATGTAACTGCAAAGAGAACTGAAAACTTTGAGAGAAGGCAAGATACTGCAGTAGAACCAAACTGCCCATTAGCAGCAATTCTAAGTCAGGGCAAAGAACTATTATTATTATTATTATTATTATTATTATTATTTAAATTTATATACTGCCCTATACCCACAGATCTTAGGGCAGCTCACAGGATAAAATCACAATATAAAATCACAAAATACATAATCAAAATAAAAACAAGAACAACCCAATAACCTCCCACAATTAATCAGGGAGGGAAAATAGAATTTAAAACACACAAAATATCTGTAATAAAACATATAAAAATAAGCACCCATCAGGTATCATCAAGGAGCAGGTTAAAAGATCAATTTAACTGTCTTTCAAATCAAAACATTTTAGCCATTGGGTTTTTTCCAATTGCAACAATTCAAAGATGCTCTTTGATCCAGTGGATCAAAGCCTAAAACATGCAGAAGGGCTGGCTGGGCATTTCCTATGTGTTAGTTTTATTTGCTATAAGATTTAAGTTCACACAGAAACAGCACTGCAAGTGCAACGGAGTACTGCTCTGGAAGGGTTTAGTTTTATAGAAAAAAGGTAATACCAAGGTGTGTCAACTTTGGGCTAAAAAAACTGGTCACTGTATTTTTTAATGCAGAACGAATCAGGATAGTAAAGCAAGGGAGTTTGCCTGGCCTGACTCCAGCTAGGGTAATTCCATGTTGCAGACACTTAACTCTTGCTGTGACTGCAACTGGAAACCAGATTCCTTTTGGCCTACTGCCCTGACCTCACTCACAGTTCCATTCTACACCACATTTTTGGCAACCTTGTGAGCACCAAGAACTGGTTGCTCTCCCTTAAGATAATCCTGTAGGGAGCTATTGAACATGCATGTTTTGTCAGCTTTGCTACCTAGCACTTCAGCAAGCCCCAACTATTTTATGTTACACTGCCACTTTCCTGCAGTGAAGCGCCTAAATACAGCATCATTAGAACTATACAGCATAATGGTACCAGAAGACCATTATGCCGAGAGACCAGAAACAGAACCTGATGCCAAGGAGATCGTTAGTGGTCTGAGATCCATGACACCATTTGACTGCAAGTCATCAAATGGATATGAGAAGTGCCTAAACTATGCATAGTTTCTCTTGAAGGAAGCAAGGATATGGCACATTCCAGCTGCTAGCAGCAAACACAAGAACCAAAAGGGCAGACATGAAAAAGATAAGACCACAATGTGTTTTAAATGGCTAGCCTAAAACTATTGATCACCATCAACTGCAGGTCAATACTCCATTTTGCTCCGTTCTTCCTCGACTTTGTAGGAAAGTTGACTATATGTAGTTCTCTTTTACTGCTTGCATTTGATTTCCCAGAATTGAAATTACAGCTTCCATTCAATTCCAATGATTCATAATGTAGAGTCCAAGAGAAGCCCTCCCTTCCTAAAGAACCCCAACTTCAATCATCTGGCTAGGATGCAACTAGGGGAAATGGTTTTGCCCTGGTACCACTCTTATCTGGAGGACAGTTCCCAGAATTTGATGCTGGAGAACTGACTCTTGGCTACATGGCCACTAGCCTATGGTGTTCCTCGAGACTTCCTTTTGCTTCTGTTGCTGTTTAATAACCACATTAAAACACTAGCAGAGATTATCTGTGGATTTGGGGTTGGGTGCCATCAGCATCTCACTTTTCCAGCAGATACCAGGGAGGTGGTAGAAGTTCTGAAATGTTGTTGGAGCATAGTTGCAGGCTGGATGTGAGCAAATGTGTTATCCGGACAAGACGGAAGTGCTGTTGTTTAATAGGAAGACTAGGTCAGGATTAGGTGTACAGCCCATTCTGGATGGCACTGCACACTGCTTGAAGAGTCAGGATCAGCGTTTGAGGGTGCTCCTTCATCTGGCATTGCCCATAGGACATTTAGCCCCTCAGGCTCTCTACCAGGCCCCCCAGGGCTATCACAGGCCCTCCAGACCACACACCACCAACCCAGGCCACTCTGCACTGGATCTGCTCCACATACCCCTTTAGTGGGTAGAATGTGCCTCTAGAACAGAACTAAGTGCCTCTTGCTAGTCTGGATGCAGAATGCACTGTGTGTGTGTGTGTGTGTGTGTGTGTGTGTGTGTAAAGAAACTTCTGGCTTCTGCTTAGCTGGAATATAAACCCAGGGGTAAGCATCACCTATGTTGCTCCACTCACTTTTGCCTCTTTTCATCACTGGTATGTGGCCCCAGAAGATTGCCTGTTAGAAAATGTGACTCTAAGGCTGGAAGAAACACAAAATGCCCCTGTCCTAGGCACTCACAGATAGCCACTGCAGCAACGTTGTACATCTTTGGCTAGTGCCCCAGCCCTTTCCTGGAGATCAGCTACACATGCCTTGGTCACACTCAGATTAGATTACTGTAATGTGCTCCACATGAAATGGCCCACTGAAAGTGTATTAAGGAGAGAAATAAAAGAAAAGGGGGGAAAGCCAAAGATACAAATCTTTGTACTGCGCCAGTAGATGTGTGTAAATTTGGAGAAACAGCCTTAGGGAGCCTTAACAAACAAGCAACTTGATGGCCATCCAAGTTCATGTCTTTTGCATGTTTCATCCACTTCCCAACACATGTTTAGAACACAACTTACTAGTAGCAAAGAGGTAAGCAGGAGACCTGGGAAGATGTAATGTTGTAGATTCTATATGCCTTGAGCAAGTCACTCCTCCTCAGCCTAAGCTAACTCGTGGGCTTGCTGTGAAGCTGGAACACTGATCAAAGCTCCTTGGGAGAAAAGAGAAGATAGAAATGCAATCCCTTAGGATAGTACTTACCTCCCGTAACTTATCCATCTCATTCTGCAGCACCTGCTTAGCCAACTCACTCTCAATGAGCCGTTGGCGCAAGTCCTCATTCTCATCCTCCAGCTTAATCCGTTTTTTCTCCACTGTCTCCAGTTCATTATGGAGCCTCACAGAGACATCTTTGGCTACCTATAAACACAGCAAAAAGTAATATGAGGTTTGGTCCTCAGATCTGATGCACAAGTTAATATTACCAGCAGTACTGACATTGGGCTTTAGATTCTATTTTGATCAGGGATATATATCCCACCTGACTGTCCCTCTTCCAAAATCCTCACTGGCATTTAGCTTTCCTGATCTATTTACAAAGAAACAGATTTTCTTCCAAAATGCATGCTTACATTCAAAATTGCTTAAGCAGGAGCTACGGCTTGCAGCGTAAAATTGTAGCTAAGCATTTTGCACAGATTTCATTTTTAATCCTTTAATTCAAGTTGTACCAGGATAATTATGTTCAAGATATGAACTGTTACCAAGAGACACATTTTGCAGGTCCCTCCCTCCTCTTATGTGGCCCAAGAATGCAGCCATCTTGGGAACACAGCATGGCTTTGCACATTAGAAGCATGCACTGAAAAAGGAAGCAAAAGTGATGATATCGGACAATATAAAAAGGATTTGTGCAACTCTTCATAAGGGAGCACAAGAGCTGTGCCTACATTGAATATATACATCTTGCCATCTTTGCACAAGAACCAGAAGTATGGAGAAAACCAAATCCTCTTGAATCCCTCTTCCTTGTAGTAAACGATGCACCTCTTGTTATTCAGCAGCATTATGGTGTATGCTTTGCTGCACAGCCCCCCCCCCAAATCAGAACTTCCACAAAAGTTCTATGCCCTTATGTCCATGATCTAATGTCCAATGGTGCTTTGAATGCCAGCTTCTCTGGTTACAGAAGAGGGAATAACTGTCACATACAAGACCGAGATGCCAGTCACTTCTGAGTTTGTTCGCTGCGATGGCTGGCAGGTTTTAGATGCACATCAGCAAGTTTCAGAAACTGTGCAAAATGGGAATTAAAGGGAATCTATAGACACATTTAGATGCACCAAGGTCACCACCTAATAATTCTCTGTGAATCCACAGGCATAGAAGGGGGAACAAGTTGGTGGTGCTACATTATCCTCTCTGAGCTTTCCCCATTGAACCAGGATAGATTTTTTTTAAAAAAAATGTATTGAACTGAAGAGCATGCATCAAATATTAAAGTTACAAACAGGTTCACTAATGTCAATATTAATGGTGCAATGGGTAGTCTAGCAATTACAGTAGCACCAACCATACCTCCTACTGTAATGTGAGGGTATTAAAAAAAATATGTAATTTTCTGTCATGGGTGCAGAAGCATCAAATAGGCTTTGCCACTGGCACTTAGACATGTCAGACTCAGATTGTGCAACCAAAGTATAGCCAGGAAGAGCATTCAGGTAGGAAAGGGTAAGTCAAATGCCAAAGCTGTAAAATGGGAAAGAACACAATTCATGTGAATCTGTTTAACAGACTGAATAATACTGAACCTAAACTATTTGAGACTCAGGATTCAGACTTTCAAACGAAAATGTCAAACATGGGGCATGGTAGAGCTTTACTGTCTGTTCCATGGAAGAGTCATGGAACACTGAATTACTCTTAATATGGGGTATATCTCTTAATGCATCTGTAGACACAGGAAGTAGTTCCACAGTCCTGATGACCTTATGTTCACAAACATTTTCCAGCAAATCCCAAGCAATGAATTCTGGTCCCCAGAGACCCTCTGGGCTTGACCTCTTCTGCAATAAAGCTCTCACAATATGGCTTTATCTGATAATTAGGGTCATAGGTAGTCCTTTATCACAGCCCAAGGAAAGAAGAGAGGTTCTTCACTGGGAAGGAGGAAATTAACTTTACAAAAAATGAACTTTTGCAGGGGGCAGGGGAAGCAACCAAAGACCAGATGGCAAAACATCAATATCTAATTTCAAGAACCTCCACAGTGTGTGATCCCAAATAAAATAGGGGTATCCTGTATGGAATCTCTAGGAAGCACCACTGAACCTATATAGAACTTTAGACTGTATGCAGCCAAACCTGCAAACGTAAGTGGGTTTTCCAGCTGCGGGTTGAGTTCTGCTTTCCAAACAGCCTTCACCCATTATAAACACATGGCTTCCAATGAATGTTGATTGCCTCCTCCTCTTTTTTTAAAAAAATATTTTTTCTTTATATTTTCATTTTACAATAAACACAAAACATAAATTTGAATTATTCCACATCATCTTTCAACTCCCCTCCCCCCTTTCAGAGGTTTCTTACCCTTATACTGGTTTTTACTGCATTGTTGAGACTGACACAAGGGCTAGCCAATCAGTACTGTGCAAAGAACAAGTCTCTGCTGAGCTCAATCCGAGTGGTTTTTTTTTTGGGGGGGGGAGTGCGTATTGAAAATGTTACATGTCCCCAAAAAGAAATGAGAGTCTTTCCACAGCAAGCTTACAGTTAAAATTGCATGCACCTCTATACACACTTAATACTGGCACTACCTCACTGTACAGAGGACCTCCTTTGTTCTTTTGCGTGATGGTAAAGAAACTGCAAAGGTTGGAGAAGGCCATTACATTTATATTCAAGTGTCAGGAGGGGGAACTTCGGTTGACATGTGCAGACAGGGCTTTCTCCCTGCTAGACAGGAAACTGGCATGGGTTTTACACCACAAAGATGTGAAGGGCAAAGGACAGAAACCGAAGGCATTACCAGGGCAATCGTGATGGACAGGGCAGGTTGGAGAGGCAGAATGCTACAATGGATTACGGAAAAAAGCATGCAGTGACCTACAGTGCACAGCTGATGCTAGAAAAGTCACCCTGTGTCCCACATTTTTTACTTATTTATACAAATCCCCAGTTGCATCCTGACTATGGGAACTGAAAACTGAGCTAGGAAAGAGGCAAATGGTAGGACAGCTACTAGCATGGAATCAGCTTAGCCAGAGGCTCCAGAAACACCATCAAGGTTGGGGGGGAGGGGGGAGTTCCAGTTATTTCCTGCTCCTGCAAGGAAAACACTTGATCATAGCAAATGGTAAGGCAACCAGGAGGCAGCTGTTACAGGGTTCAGGGAAGGAGCAGAGCGAGAAAAATGCACCGTGACAAGCATATGGCAACTATCACACTACATCTAGCTCAGAAGAGGGCCAGTCCATGCAATGACCTCTTTGGAAGAAACTACAGTGGACGCTCGGGTTGTGAATGTGATCCGTGCAGGAGGCACGTTCGCAACCTGCAGCGTTCGCAACCCGCAGCGTTGCGTCTGCGTAAAGCGGAATTTAGTGCTTCTGCGCATGCGTGAGCACTGAAACCCAGAAGTAACGCGTTCCAGTCCGTCCGGGTTCAGCGTGGTGTGCAACCCGAAAATGCGCAACTTGAAGCATCTGTAACCCGAGGTATGACTGTAAAGGGTGAATAACTAAATCAGGGGTTAGCAAACATTTTCAGCAAGGGGCTAGTCTACTGTCCCTCAGACCTTGTGGGGGGCTGGACTATATGGGGGGGTGAACGAATTCCTATGCCCCACAAATAACCCATAGATGGATTTTAAATAAAAGGACACGTTCTACTCATGTAAAAACATGCTGATTCCCGGACCATCCGAGGGCTGGATTTAGAAGGCGATTGGGCCGGATCTGGCCCCCAGGCCTTAGTTTGCCTACCTACGGGCTAAATAAACACTGCATTTTGAAAACACAACCTTCTTCTCTGGAAATGTGACATATACTCCTACAACATGTATCAGCTCATGAATCGATAGCTATGGCTATCAAAAGTTCTAACATCCCTAATATCCTCATTATGATATGATGATGCAGCCGAGATTAAATCTGCTTGTATATCAGTAATTATGGCTATCTAATGTATAAATACAAATGGTGGTGTAATTAACATCTGGAATGTGAACGTGTTTTCTCAATTGTTATTTTTTAAAAAAATTAAAGTGTGAACATGGTTTTAACATTTCAATGTATTTTCACACTTAAACATCTTTTGTTACATATTATAATGTTGCTTTTTGTAACTTTTCTGTTTCCAGTTAAGGAAATCAGCCCCCAGGCATCACACTTGATGAACACAGCATGCGTGGAACTCAGGGGTGGGGAGCCTGTGGTCCTCAGGTGTTGCTGGGACTCCCATCAGTCCCAGCCCACATAGCCAACTGGCAGCAGTGATGGGAGCTACAGACAAGCAACATCTGGAAAGCTGTAGGTTCCCCATCCCTGATAAAACTGGACATCATGCACTATAGTGGGGGAGCACGTGTCCCTTGACCTGTCTCCATATGGCTCTCAACCCAATTTCATAAGGTTGCTGCAGACCTCTGGCAAGAGCAATCTGTCCCTCCCCAGACAGCCTGCTGAGGGAGCAAAGGGGTGCCCCTTGTCACCTTTTAGCTCAGTATAAGGTAGCTCTATATTACATAATTGGCAGGGTGTTGGCCTGAGACTGAGAAAACCCATTTCAATAGCTACACTTAAACATTTGGGCACCTGGGATGTTTTTCTGCCTCCAGGGGTCTAGGCTGTGCTCCTAGTCCTCATTCAGAAGCTCTGGAATGACTAATACCGTATTTTTCGCCCTATAGGACGCACCGGCCCATAGGACGCACCTAGATTTGGGGGGGGGAGAAATAAAGGCGGGGGAATTATTTTCCCCCCCAGGCACGGGGCTGCGGCAGGGGAAGCTCAGGCTTCCCCCTCCCCCGGCCCCCAGAACGGGACCCAGAGCGATGCCGAAGCTGCGTGCAGCTTTGGCATCGCTCTGGGAGCTTGCAAGGCTGGAGGAGGGGGAAGCCCCCCGCCAGCCTTCTAACCAAGTCGGGGGACAGCGGGAAAGGCGCGCTGCGCCTCCCCGCTGTCCTCAGAGCTTGTGGGGCTGACGGTGGGGCTCTCCTGAAGCCTGGAGAGCGAGAGGGGTAGGTGCGCACCGACCCCTCTCGCTCTCCAGGCTTCAGCGAAAGCCTGCATTCACCCCATAGGACGCACACACATTTCCGCTTCATTTTTGGAGGTGGAAAAGTGCGTCCTATAGGGCGAAAAATACGGTAGTTTGCATGCAGAAGGTCAAAGATCAAACCTTGACATCTCCAGTTAAAAAGGTTCAAGTAGCAGGTGATGGGGAAAAGACCCTCTGCCTGAGACCCCAGAGAGCCATTCGCAGTCAGAGGAGACCATACTAGGCCAGATGGATCACTGATGGTCTGTCTCAGTACCATGTGGCTTCATATAGTCAAAACATATGGTCAAATACTTTGAAGAACCATGTGTTAAAAAAAACTACAAGCTGTGGAACAAGATGTTATCATTCCCCACACCAATACAGAAACCCTAACTGAGTGGGGAGGGGCATGGAGCAAGGGACTCTCCGTGGCATTTGCAGCCTGACTGGCTCCTGCTAAGCCAGGAGGAAAAATTGGAGGGCAGTTTTCCCAACTATGTTGGCTGCACCAACTCGCAACATGCGCCCAAATCAGGTCCCTTACCAGGAACTGGACTGGCTTTGGATCCAGAAGAGCCATTGCTCTGCTTCCACCCTATCATTGAAACACTCCCATTGGGGAGCTTTCTTCCAGCTACTGCTGGCAGGAACACCAATGGCAGCATATACTCCTCCACATTTCTGTGGGCACAGAAAGGGCCTCCATGGTGGCCAAGTTCCCCTGCCGATGGTGTCAATTTCTAATCCCTGCCAGCAGTATGGATCAATGGTTAGGATTGTCCCACTCATTCCAGAGTATCAAAGCTTCTTCTCAAAGCTATGGTGATATAAATGCTGAGGGGCAGAAGGCATGGAAAGGAGCTGTTTGGAACAGAACTGCTGGCCCTTTATAAAGAAATGGGTTGCGTCCATAAATAGACCCACTGAAATTAAGGAGCATGAGTAACCTAGGTCCATTGATTGCAATGAGTCTACTCTGAGTAGAACTTAGTTGGCTGCAACCCAAAACCTGCAGCCTTTACAATGATCAGGCAGTAACACCTGCCTTGCTTTGGCCTATTTGCATAAATAAACTTCTAAGGACATGTTCCCTGCAGTTCTCTCTTTTCGAACTAGCTGAGCTGTGGCATACAGGTTAAATCCTCAGCTTGCATTCCTCAAGTTGCCAATTTAAATCCTACTGCAGACGCAGATATTGGCATACGGAACTGAGCATTACCAACACGTAGCACCCCCAATAATGGCAGCTGGAAATTTTCAAATGCCCAAAGCTCTAATCAACAATACTGAGCAAAGCAGTATTGCCCCTCGGGATCGAAACAGGGAGAACAGTAGTGTTTAGTAGGGCAGGATATCTACTACCTCATTCCAATGCACGTATCATGCTGAGAATACATTCTGTTGGACCCCATCAGGTCCAGGTGGTAGCTACATTTACTTTTAAACAACTGCACAAGCATATCCTCTTAATTACAGAGCAGTTAGCGATGGATGCTTGGGTGGAGATTGTCATCCGTCACTTGTGGCAGGCTTCATTTCCAGAAACTGCCATTTTCTGGAGCCTGGGGCACTTGGCAGCAGGTTCAGTCCTTTGTTTAAAAGCTTCCATTTGGCTCAATCCCAGGCTTTGCTGAGCTGGGATAAAAGGTACTGCAACAATGAAAAAGCGTTTTGTAGCTGAAGAAGAACAGCATTCCAGTGTAAGTGGAGAGGCTGCTGCACTTACTCTCACTGAGTCATGTCCAAATACAAGCACAGGTGCTGCTACAGAAAGAGTTACAAGTAAAGGCTGCCCCCGCAGGGAAATGGTCAGCAGTGGCGGGCATTGATTGCCCTTCTCTCCTCGGATGGGTAGGTTCGAAAACACCTATTTTGTTAATTAAAATTGCTCAACAGTTGATTGCACAGAGAGAGCTGCATACTTTGCCTGCCATGTCTCTATGCAAGTAAAAAAACCCCACCTCTACATTTTATTACTATTTTCTCTTCCCCCCCCCCAGTCTACTAGAAAGGGGGACTATGCACAGAGTCTGGGACTTCTGCCCAGTTGAAAGGCTTGCCCATGTGGATTGACGACAGCACAAGGGTTGCTTCTCAAATTGCCAGCTCTGTAGGGCCATGAGATGGCCAACTTCTCACACAGCATACTGCCTTCCTTGACTCACTGTGAGCCCAGAGGATAAAAGACCACAGAATATGTGACCAGAATAAGCAGGGGGATGATAATTGTACCAGCTAAATGCCTCCTGTTTTCAAGTCTATGCACCACAACAGGGGAACTCACACAGAGGCCCCGTGGAAGGACCAGTGGCACAACTAACTCTGCAGGTGAACTTGCAGATTCATTTTTAATTGGAAAGGGGGAGAACAAAGTATTTTCAAAGAATCGAATTCTACTGCTTAGACAGTAATAAGGCTAGCCAGTGCTATTTGCTTAGGATGTTCATCCAAGTCACCCCTGGAGAATGTCCAAAGGGTTGGAGCTCTGGAGCTAACATTTCTGCTTTTGTTAATCATGGTGGAAATGCCCCCTCCCCCTGCAAAGAGCACAACCTTCCCTGTATTTACTTCCCTCATCCACACCATGCCAGTTGCTGTCGACACGCCTAAGCATTTTACAGACTCCCTCATCCTGCCCTTTGGTACCCCAGCTGCTTGTGCTTCCGCTCCCTGTCGAATGCAACCCAAGAGTCACATCCCTTTGGGTCAATGTTCCAGGGGCCTCGTGACAGTGGTGGGTGGGGCCAGAGGCAAAAGTGGGAGGAGCAACAAATGTAAATGTACAGTAGGCTAGTTTCTACACACACTCACAAACCTCTCTCTATCCTCCATCCAGGCAGGGGAGAGGCATTATCAGAGTTCAAGGACACATCAGGAAAAAACACTCAAGGAGAATATGAAGTGCATCCAGTGAATGGTATGGCTGGGGGTGGCGGTAGGGAGTACGGTGTAGGGAGAGGCTCAAGGAACAGATAGAGAAGCTTGAAGGACTGTATTTGGCCCCCAGACCTGAGGTTCCTCACCCCTGGCCTATGCCATTAGGCAATGCAGCTTTGTTCAAAGGGCCACAGCAATGGAACAGGCCTTGGAGGCAGCAAGAAAGGAGGCATTCCTCCAGCAGATTGTGTTACTGTGCAATGCCAATAAAGTGCCATGCCTAAGCAGCATATGCACCACCCAGCTGGCCTGTGCAATCATCAAGAGCTAGCTAAGGCCCTTGGGCAGCTCAGGGAAGGGGCTCAGCCTCTCTGGTCAGCTGCTTAGTTCCCATGACTGTAAACTGAGCTGACAAGAAAGCATATCCTTATCACTAACCCTTCCCAGGTCTGCACATCACAAGAAGCCTAGTGTCTGTGCAATGGAAAAGGGAGTGAAGTAGAAGCAGAAGTACAGCAAGGAGTCCAGCTGCTGCTAAAAATATGCCACATTGTTTGGGGAGCCCAGGTTTCAAGGGATATGCAGCTATGACAATGCACACAAAGGTTGCATGCGATATGTGATGAGCCAGATTGTAATAACAGCACGAGGAATTGGAGCAGGGTTAACCCACAGTCCTGATCAGAATCCTGATGGAAGCTTTCCTCCCAGTACAGATAAATAGGAGTCAAGTCCAATCAGGAAAACAGCAGGAATAAAAAGGAAACGGAAAAAGAATCCCCTCTCCCACCATGCCATGGCCCCAATCTGGCTCAGGAGCCCTGGTTCAAGAAAGACCAATTACACAGCAAAAGTCACATCTAGCTTGGTCTTAAGCTCTATGAAGGAAGTATGGGATAAAGGTCCAGGATTCTATAGATCCCATCACTAGCTCTGTTCTCCAAGGCAAAGAGATGGGTTTTCTCTCCGTTTCAGCCTGCACTTTGTGTAATGCAACACCAGCTTAAACCTGGCTCTCTGCAGGATTGGTCAACTCAACATTATAGAGTAAACTAGACAGCAATTAAATGCTAAAGGGGCCCCACTCCTCAAAGGAATCATTTCAAGCAGAGCAAGCTGCAGTTCACTCTCACCACCAAGGCCTGAACTAGAAAGAACTTATGCAGAATTGCCTATGTGCAGGACCGTCAAAAACAGCAAAAAATAAACCAACCAACAAACCACAGGTAATTCAAATTCTGCAAGAAAATGATCAATTCCATGACATCTATGCAAATTAACAATCACTTGCATATATTTGCTTACTTTGCATATTCTATTCTGCTTCTGTTGGTCATATGAGAATGGAGCCATGGTGGGTAATGAAACCCTGGCCTTTCTCTCCCCCACCTACTTGGCTTCTGAGATTTGACTTAGCATTGCCCACACACTTTCATGCCTATCTTGACAGTCACAAGGGCCAGAAATACGCTTCTTTCAAAAGCTGAGATTCTCAGGATACTTAATTCTGCACCCAATGGAAATTTCAATGTTTGCCCAGTAAAATTATGGAAGCGTTAAAATACAAAAGACTTGATCTGCTGTTGCCTCTTACTCGCATCCAAAAGGGCATGTAGATGAATTGAGTCTACTCTGCTACAACTCCAATCTCTGTTTGTCTTTACTTGCCATTATCTTGCCCTTATTGACTCAGTAAGAGGTGGACTACGTTTGTGCAAAGGAATCCAAGCCTCGTGGTTTCCTCTGGGAAATTGCTACAATGCCCAACAGCAGCATTTCACAAATCTTCCAAGTTCTCCTCTAGGTCAGTATGGCAACAGATCCATTTTCGAGCAAGTCATTTCTAAGCAGTTATTTTTGCAAAACATAACTTAAATGCACACCAAATAGAGCCTGTACCCCAACATTGGCGGAACACATGCTTTGCATGTAGAAGAGCAAAGGTTCAATACCTAATACCTCCAACTTAAAGGATTTTTGGTATCTGAGCCAGGAAAGGCCTCTGCCCAAGACCTTGGAGAGATACCAGTAGCGAAAATAAACAGCACAATGGACCAATAATCTGAAACAGGACAAAGCAGGTTTTTTTAAAATCCCAGGACCATTCAAATGTCTTCTCTCTTGTAACTGCAGGCTTACCTTGACGTCTTGTTCAAGGCCGTGGATGAGCTCTCCATCCACCTGGCCAGTCTGTGCCACACGAAGGCTGCGCCGCTCTGCCTTTCGCAGACGGTATTGCAAGATGCGGCAGGTCTTACTGGCTTGGTCCAGTTGCTGCCGGAGCTCCTGTAGCTGGTAGACATCTTCTTCCATGTAGGCATCTCTCATCTCCAGCATCTCAGCCCTCAATTCCTCAATCTCATCCTAAGGAAGAAAAGTACAATGGTCAAAGAATGGACAGGGCAAGCGTTACAAAGCTTGCATGTGACAACATCAGAAAAGAATACGACAAGGGAGTGAGGAGGGCAGTTAATACCTGTGTGTTTATATATTCTACACTGCTTGTCTACTGTAAAAAGTCCTCAGGCAGCTTGCTTGCTTGGTTTATTAATTAATTAATTAATTAACCAACCAACCATATTAAGAATCCTAAAACAAACTACTGTATGATCCAACAGAACAGCAGGGTCCTTCTACAAAGCTATTTCTTATGAGGTAAAACCAGTAGATTAACGAACAAAAACAATACCCCTCACAGTTTAAAAGGCCATATATGGTTTAATTAGCCAAAGGCCTGATCATAAATATGGTAAGTAGATAGATAAAATGTGGGTTGGGAGGTTTCAATGGAGAATCGATTTAAAAAGCCCCTATTCTGAAGGGGCAAGAGACAGAGTTAATAAGAAGAGAATGAACTGCAGTTCCCTCCAACCCAAACTACCAGGGATGTGGACAGTGCTTTGCCCTGGACTTCTATATAACAGTATATTACTATTATACTATTATTAGAATAGTATTCTACTGGTTTACTATTACAGTGGTACCTCAGGTTAAGTACTTAATTTGTTCCAGAGATCTGAAACTGTTCTTAACCTGAAGCACCACTTTAGCTAATGGGGCTTCCCGCTGCTGCCGCGCCGCCGGAGCACAATTTCTGTTCTCATCCTGAAGCAAAGTTCTTAACCTGAAGCACTATTTCTGGGTTAGTAGAGTCTCTAACCTGAAGTGTATGTAACCTGAAGCATATGTAACCCGAGGTACTTCCTTTTCATCTCTTTATAAGGGTGGGGGTAAATAAGCGATTTGTGAATGCTTTAAAACAATTACCTGCATTGAAGTAACCAATGCAATCCTGACATGGGACTGTGAACATGTCAGAAAATGTTTCCACTGCAGCACTAAGAAAAATTCCTCCACGTGTCTGCACTACATAATTCAGAACATTTAGGCACCAAGCAACGGGTGAGATTAACAGCTAAAAAGCCACCATTTACAGGCAAAGGGGGTTGGGGTTGGGGGGGAACTCCCTATGTAAGACCACCCAGAACTAGAGTGCAGCCAAGCAATGCCAATCCAACTAATTAGCCCTAGGAGATTAGAAGCAAAGGCACTGAGTGCAGAACATGCAGCTCTAGGATAAAAGACTGCACAGCAAGAGGAAAGCTACAAAGCACCAGTCACAAGGCCCAAGAGCTGTCTCCCTGAGAAATTGTCCTTATACCTGCAGCAGCATCCTTACTTCTGACTTTATACCAACAGTAATGTCAAAAGGGCTCCTGTCCTTTCTGGAGCTCCTGGTTCCCCAAATTAACAGGAAGTCTCAGCTGCTCTGTCCCAGCTAGTAGACTGTAAACCTTGGCTCCAAAATGGCTGCTAAAAGTCATGGATAAAAAAAATACATGACAAATCAGAAAATATATATTGTGCTGTAGAGCAGTGTTTCCCAACCTTTTTTGGGCAAAGGCACACTTGTTTCATGAAAAAAATCTCGAGGCACACCACCATTACAGCCCCGTGACGTCAGCGCGCAGCGTCACGCCGGGAGGGACGCACGAAAGTGTAAGTTTCAATTTTTTCCCCTCCCCCTTGCCTTCCTTCTGTGCCAACCGCCAAAAAGCCAAGAAAAAAGCCAAGACTTTAGGGCAGCAGGTCGACACGGAAGAAGCTCCTACCTAAGGACAGGTGCGACGGCCGTGTCCTCTTCTGCCACACTTGGCAGCCCTGCCTCACGGTCGTGACTCCCACCCTGATTTCTCCCCGCAGGTCGAGCGGCACAGGCAGCCCAATGTGTCCAGCCCAGACACAAGCCCCGCTTCCCCACTCTAGATCCTGAATGCGACCAAGTGCTCTGGATTCCCGAGCAGGGTGGGAAAGAGGACTCGCATCTGGTAGCCTCCGGGTTCCTCGCCTGCTTGAGGGATGGCATTGCAGGCAAGCTGCCGGCCGTCGCCATCGCCGCCCCCTCATGCGAGTGGACCTGCCCGGAGTGGTGGGCCGGGGGAGGCTCGCTCTCTGTGGGGATGTGGCCCGCACGCGTGGCCCCGCTTCCTCCTGCCCAGGGCTGAGCTCCTTACCCGCGATCTCGGTCTCGCGCACGCGGATCCCACTTATTCTGAAGCTCGCGCCACTAGCCGGGGCTCTCACACCGTGCCAGGGCGAGGCGGCGCGGCCCACTGACGTCATTGCGGCTCGCCGCCGCCCTCAACTTCCCTGTTCCCTCCCCTCCCTCGGGTCGCCGTGGTTACCGAGGACTGCAAGCTGCTCGGGCGAGCGTGGGGCATTAAGTGGGAGAAGGAAAATTAAAATTAAAACTCGCCTGAAGGCCGCCTCTCCGGATACAGTGGTGCCTCGCAAGACGAAATTAATTCGTTCCGCAAGTCTCTTCGTCTTGCGAGTTTTTCGTCTTGCGATGCACGGTTTCCCATAGGAATGCATTGAAAATCAATTAATGCGTCCCTAGGGAAACCGCCTTCAGACCAGGTCCGGGGACAGTCTGTCCCCCGACCTCTTCTGAAGGCTGGGGGGGGGACAAGGGCTTTTCTTCCCACCCCCAGCATTTTAAAAAACCCTGGCGGGCGGCATTTTAAAATCGCCCGGGACAGCGGAGAACTTCTCCGCTGTCCGGGGCGATTTAAAAGCCCCTGGGAAGGCAGGCAGGGGGGACAAAGATTTTCGCCCCCCGCCCGCCTTCAGAAGAGGTCCTGGACCTCTTCTGAAGGTGGGCGGGGGCGAAAGTCTTTGCTCCCCCCTGCCTGCCTTCCCGGGAGAGTGGAGAAAGGCAGCGCATTTCTCCGCTGTCCTGGATGGCTTTTGAAGGTCCTTGACCTCTTCTGAAGGCGGGCGGGGGCGAAAGTCTTTGCTCCCCCCTGCCTGCCTTCCCGGGAGAGCGGAGAAACGCAGCGTGTTTCTCCGCTGTCCCGGAGGGCTTTTGAAGGCAGGCAGGGGGGAGCATAGACTTTCGCCCCCCGCCCGCCTTCAGAAGAGGTCCTGGACCTCTTCTGAAGGCCGGCGGAGGGCGAAAGTCTTTGCTCCCCCCTGCCTGCCTTCCCGGGAGAGCGGAGAAAGGCAGCGCGTTTCTCCGCTGTCCCGGACGGCTTTTGAAGGCAGGCTTTTGAAAGCCGTCCGGGACTGCGGAGAAATGCAGCGCGCCCTTGCCGCTGCCCCCCGACTTGGCTGGAAGGCTGGCGGGGGGAGAAGCCTGCTCCTCCCCATCGCCAGCCCCGCAAACTCGGGGGACAGCGGGAGAGGCACAGCGCGCCCTTGCCGCTGCCCCCCGACTTGGCTGGAAGGCTGGCAGGGGGAGAAGCCTGCTCCTCCCCATCGCCAGCCCTGCAAACTCGGGGGACAGCGGGAGAGGCGCAGCGCGCCCTTGCCGCTGCCCCCCGACTTGGCTGGAAGGCTGGCGGGGGGAGAAGCCTGCTCCTCCCCATCGCCAGCCCTGCAAACTCGGGGGACAGCGGGAGAGGCGCAGCGCGCCATCCCGCTGTCTCCCGACATGGTTTGGAGGCTGGCGGAGGGCTTCCTCCTCCCCCAGCCCCGCAAGCTCCCAGAGTGATGCCAAAGCTGCGCGCAGCTTCGGCATGGCTCTGGGTCCCGTTCTGGGGGAGGGGGAAGCTCGGGCTTCCCCCGCCCCAGCCCCACGCCTGGCGGTGGGGGAATAATTTTTTTCCCCTTTATTCCCCCCCCCCGCCAATTTTTCCCACGGCACACCAGGCAACGTCTGGCGGCACACTAGTGTGCCGCGGAACACCGGTTGGGAAACACTGCTGTAGAGAGGAAAGACTTTTCCTTATGGATCACAAAGTTATTTCCTTCCTCTGTCTGTCCCTGACTATCTTACCTGCAATGCTCAAGATCATGAATTTTTCTTGGAACTCATCTTATAATAAGAACTGGATTTAATATATTGTACAGCTGCTTATCACACACAAAATTGTGTTTTTTTTAATCAAGTCCCATTACATGCTATATAATTGTCAATAATAGCACAGAGAAACTGTTAACTCTTCAGTACAATGGTATACGTGCCTACTTCAAAAGTAAATCTCTTTCCATTTATTGGGGCTTACTCCTAGGTAAGTGGTTACAGGATGGCAGCAGAGGCATTGGTTTAGGATTTGCACTTGGGAAAACAGTGTTCTTGTGCCTTTGATAGCTCTTCCTCCACAGTCAGGACCACCAAGATATAGCTGATTTCCCATGAGATTGTCAGGGTGGGTGGGAGAGAGGAAATTAGCAATGATTGTACTCTCTAATCTTCTGCTATGCCATGTCCCCCAACAGCCATTTTGTGTTATGCCATAGCCCCACAGCGGCCATTTTGTGACTGGCACCCTCAGCACTCCCTCAAAATTCAAAATGTGCCCACTGGTCTTAAAAGGTTGCTGATCCCTATTTTTTGCCACGCCTGCTCCTGCTTTATTCTGATGGTGGTGCTCAAACTGGAGATTTACTAACACATAAACAGAAATTTGTGATGACTAGCCATCAACTCCACAACCGTTATGTTAATAAATTTCCAGAAGTCTGCACCTAAAGCAGTGAAAAAAGAAGTGCTTGGGAAAAGAGCCACTTCCCCAAGAAGGTGGTGTTTAGAAGTATAGTTAAGAGCTCTAAGGGAATTCAAAAGATACCAATCAGCAACATAACACCTTGAATGCCACTGACATAAACTCAAGCAATGGGCAATAGCTCAGTGGTAGAACTTTGCATACAGAAGGTCACAAGCTGAATCCCCAGCATCTTCATCCTGAATAGAAACTGCCAGTGAGCAAAGACGGTATTGAACTAAAAGTACCAATGGCCTGGCTTAGTACGAGACAGTTTCCTATGTCCCTTTGGAGTACTGTACTCAGCCAATATATCCTTTCTAGGTCACAGAAATATGCTGAAGCACATCCACGAGGGATGTGGCATTGTGGCAG